CTTTTTCAGTCAGTAGTTCCGACTGCACGCGAAATCATAAAAAGGATTTGTACTACTAAGGTAGAACATTGTGACAATTAGTTGCACCATTCTCTACAGATCTGTTTTTAACTTAGTGAATAGTTAGTACCTTCTACAGAAACACCTGTGTAATTTCAACATTGTGATCCCCATTATTAACTATTCATCTGCTTTTTTAACCTTCGTCTTAATGATGTACTTCTGAGAATACGTGTTTTGCGCCTTTAGATGTAGACATTTTTAAGGAAATATACTCATTGAGATATATGCGCCAGAAACTTGAATCTTCTAAACATGCTGATAGTTTGTATTTCAATCACGTTTGTGCGGATCTGACTTGCTAAATACACATTAGCTTTGAATGCAAAGAAGTTGCTTAATTCTCAATAATCTATCAGTAAAGTCTAACTTCAAATACCTACCCAGTGTTATCTGAGTAATCTCAATTCAGAGACAGATAAGATGTTTAGATTTTCCCACCAAGGACTGAACTACTTTATAAGCATGAACATTTGTTTTCAAGGTAGATAACAAAATCGTATGTCGATTTGCCACTAATCCCGAAATCCTATCGTGTAATGTCCTGTGAGGCTTTAATTAAACAAATAAAATGCCGTTCAAAGTGGTTTCTGTCTAAAAAGGATTGAAATATTTCGTATGCATAGTATACACGTCTAACAGGCGTCGACCTCAGCGAATCTTTTACAGTGATTTACGATTACACTGATGGAAACTAAAAGTGAAGCAACCAACATTATGTCAAAATTGATTGATGAGTTAAGCCAATAAGGATAGGTTATCGGAAAAAAAGTGACTAATAGTTACAGAGGTAAAGAAATAAAGCTTGATTCCAATCCACAGGTGCATAATCATCATCATCCATATGAACATAGGACCAGACATTACTGCGTAACGGTCCAGTTGCCACAACTTATATCCGAACAACGAGTAGAAAAGTGATACGTCGGAAGAGATAAAGGAAAATCGGTCAAAAGCAGTAGTAAGCAGTGAAAGAGAGGAAGGAAGAAGGAGAATACGTTAAATTCAGCATAATGATCAAGATAAAGATATGTGTGGATACATAAGCACCACTGACATCGACTCAGAGCCATATCACATAGTCTCAAACCACTGGTTTCTGTGGTCATGCGAACCCTAACGTACCAGTCTACATGGCTCAGACCAACAACCAAAGACTTCATGCACCCCGAATCTATCTCAACTGATATTATGCGAAAAGGCAGACGGTGACTAGGTATGTGTAACACATATTTCATCCATATGAGTCGATGAAGGTTCAGGATCACATCAACTGAATCTCTTCTCCCTAAGACTACACTTGATTTCTGCATATACATGTCATCTGATTGAATACTAAAGACTGAGCATGTTTCCCACTCCATTTTTAAAATCTTAATTAGTGGTAAGCAATAATGAAGGCAGTAGCCCCTAGTATAGATTGTGAATGGAACTATAAGATGAAGGTTTCTAACAACTATCAATTCGTGCACTAAGCTTGTTATTGGGTTTGTACCACATCGTCGTGGTAACTAGTATGAAATACACTTGATTTATGCCTTAGGTATTGTCTCCCTTATGGTGACGAAAATGTTTGCAAGTGTATTTACAATCGTATCATTACGCCTTAGAAATAGCATAGCCCGATAAAGACGCCTAGACATTTTGTGGAATTTATGATAACCACAAGACACGACCAAATAAGGTAGTACAATACATGGGAACTAACAGAATGACTTGAGAATCCATCCATGAACGGCATCAATATGTAAGTGAGGCTAAATCGCACACATTTCCCCTTTCATTTCGTCAAATTTACCTGAAAAAGACACGGCAATCGAGTTTGACATTAATAACAACTTAAGGTGTGACATCATAGGGAAATACCACGTAGTGCTTGCTGACCATCTTTGTAAAGGCGGAAGCCAGAGTAACGATACACTCTGCAGTTGATATGAGCCAATGCGAATAAAAGTTGCTTCCAAGTGATGGATATGTTGTAACCTATAATACGGCTTATAGTGGTACACACATGAATAAATCACCAATAAATCGGTTCCTTGTCACTACAAACATTCAAAAGACATCCTATTGTCTTGTATCTCCTTCTTGACGCCTGTCCCTACCACTGGCACTGCTTAGAATGATTTAACGATTACTGGAGAGTTGCAATTATAATGAATTGACTTAACAATAACGATAAAACTCGCCAAACGCATGTAAACTTCTTCACTAGGCAATGAACCATACCTACTGTCAGGGTTATTTACACTACTCTGCAGTCTAAGAACTCGGTGGGTAGACTAGGATTCAAAATCACGACTCTAGTTGAAAATTTACAACCTTAACTAATGGATCACATTCATACAAAAACCACCAATGAGTTGACCCTACCGAGTAGGACTGTTATACTTACTACAAAGTGTAGAACAGCAAAACGATTACATTTCTTTAGTATTTTAGATATGTCTGTATTTCCTGTGTATGCTGCTGACCGATATGCATAGATTTCAGAGACTTATCACGACCAAATTTGGGGCTTTTTCATCCAGTTTTTACTCCAGATAAAATAACTTATTAAGAAAGATGGTTAATCTCAGATAACACACTTTCGAACTACCACAGTTGACGGACGTCTATGACATTTATTTTTTGCTGTATACCACTAATACCAAGGGTTTTCAAAAACAAAATCCATAGTCCATACCAGCTGAGGTGTCCTCTGAAGATTGGACTGTACCAAAAGTTGATACTGGAAAAACTAACGACCAAAATTAGAACAGTGAAAAAGACGCCAGGTTGTTCGAAGTAAGTATCTGGAATACAACTGATTATGACTTGTAATCGGTGAATCGCTTTAAACTCTAAGATTATGTCCGCAGTGCAGAGCTTTTGTTTAGTACTGTGCACGAAAAGCTCTTAAATAGCCCAAAGCAACCTTTCGATGTCTATTTCTATAGTCATACAACTCACTGACTTCAAAAAAGTTCATTTCGCCCAGGTCTAGAATCACAACACACGTAACCTACACGCGAAAAGCTGAGACAGAAATATATGTAAAGTTTATTTTGTTTTGATGGCAAATGATGATCATGCACATTTCGACGACCAAAATGAAAGTAATAATCTCCATTGATACCATGAAGTAAATCTAAACCTCCTTCTAAAATATAAGCGTTAAAACCCCTCATAACATATAACGCTTTAGATGAACGGTAATAATAAAAATAAACACTGTTTGGTAATCCCACTCTCCAAAGATACGTACACAACTAATTTTCATCAGAAACAACCACACAGACAATGACTACGCGGCAATTTATAAGTAACTTATATGACCATATTCATGATACACTCCCTTTGACTATTGGCTTTTCATATACAGGTCCCCTGCACTGATCTTTAAGCAGTCAATGAAGTGCCAGAAAAAGTAACGTTTGCACAACTGTAGAGCGGCACGTTCCACTCTTCTAATTTCTAGCTGAGAAAAGGTATGAGACGTATGCCTAAAACCAAGCACACTATAGGACATAATTCTGACTAACTGAAGAACCTGAAACAGTACGTTTCAGACCCATGAGAAACTAATTTCGTATATACGAGGGAGAAACAGGATCTTCAAAGATAACTAATATAAAGATTAACACAGGCGGTTAAGCTTACCATCGCTGTTCCTGAAGACGATTCGACATTCGTAAAAGTGTCGATATAGGGTAACAATCCACAGAACCTACTAACGGTTAGCTAATTTGATACCGGTAGCTATTCGAAATCGTAGTGCCTTCCTTCAGCAACCTTGTGCACATTCACGCAGCAGGCAATAAGCCACACTTATGGTGAGGGCTAATGAAAATAAATGGCTGCCCAAAGCTCAGTAGATGAGGTGGAGTTCAAACCCCTAACCCACTATCTGAAAGTCAGCTATCTAAACTGATCAGCCGCAGCACCAATAGCTATTACGTCTCACTGAATGAAATGTAGTTGGTGAGCGTTGATAAAGATTAGAGGCCGGAACCAACCAAATGATTCTGGGGGGAGTTCACCTTACGAAATGATTCAACAAATAAACAACGTTCACATACCAGCGTGAACAATAATGGTGGCTACTCAAGTAAACTGGCTTGCGAGATCTCGTGGGGAACAGTCAGGATTCGCAGTATTAGTTGACTTCCTATAGATTAGACAATGGATTAGTTTCCTACTAGGAACAAAATGTGTGGTGTAGTAAGTGCGAACAACATCGCTGAACAACTTCCAGGTAACTTGTGATATACTGTAAACACACGACTTTCAAAAAGTAAAAAAAGGAATTCAAATCTACCACTTTTCTACGAGTTCCCCTTCAAGTCAGTTATTATTACATTTCCTTGAACCTGAATAGCAACGTCTCACTTTACGCACACAGCACCTATTCGTTACCTTTGCTGAAATAAAGGTGGGTTGGCGCATCACCCACTGAGCACCGAGATTTAGACTTTATACACCACCTAGTGAGTTAGAAAACGGATAACTGAGATATAACAAAAGACACCAGCTCCGGAATGTTACGGTGTCACTACTGAGTACTAAGCTATAGACAGTGAATTAGTGCATACTGTGTGAGTTGAAGTACTAGTGAAGGAACACACTTAACCCGTGACGCTAGATAGGTCAGTGCCCAACCCGCAGTTGTTCACTTTAGGATAAGAAAAATGTCATTCTGTGGATATGTCTGAGCGTACACAAGACAAATTCTACACAAAACGAACCAAACAAACTCCTAGACTACTTTGTGGCACTATCTATTTTATTGAGTCTAATCTCAGCGTCAAAATTTGTGTGCAGGGTATAAGAGTTGTGGCTGATGCTGTGTAAAACTGAACAGAGGAATACTGTTTCAACGGTAGTCGCGCATCTTAATTCCACCGAAATCAACCTAAATGTGTCCAATAAAACCTAATGTCTCGGCAGTTAAAGATTTTGAAGTGAAAATTAGTTTATTGGTGGCTTTAAAACAATACAGATGAAATAAAACTCCATTTTACTTCGACCCACTGTACTTTGTAACTGCTTTAGTACCTTCAGACACTGCATGTTTCGCAAGCTCTCCAGGTAGCAACAGGCGAACGGCAGTCTGAACCTCACGACTCGTGATGGTGGACTTCTTGTTGTAATGAGCCAAACGACTAGCTTCAGCCGCGATTCTTTCGAAAATATCGTTAACGAATGAATTCATTATAGACATAGCTTTTGATGAAATCCCCGTATCTGGATGGACTTGTCGTAGAACCTTATAAATGTAAATAGCATAGCTTTCCTTCCTCCTTCGTTTCTTCTTCTTCTCAGACTTGGGAGTCTTGACTTTAGAGGACTTTTTAGCAGCCTTTCCTGAGACAACTTTAGGAGGCATCGCGCCAAACGACAGAGACGACAAAAATGTCACCCGAATGGGAGTATCATTTTGATACAGATAAACAAAAAGATCCAAAACCTGTAGACCCTCGTTCCTTATTACCTGATTGAAACACTAAAGCCTATCAACATTTGATTGATTGGAGGCTGTTAGATATCGATACAGTAAACTGGTCTGCTGAGTTTGAAATAGGTATTTTATAATATATCCAATGACATTCATAACATCAGCTTTATTGTTTAACGCCGGTTCACTTTTCCTGAAATAGGACGTTTTACCCCCTTCTGATGGTTTCGGTTTTACTGATTCATTGTCAGTACAACGTCTGAGTTAATGTTTCTCGTTGTCTACAGTTTTCACGCTGGCACCGAAGGATCACCTGAGTTTGGGATGATGAGAAAAGCAACGGTGCTTCGGGGACGTAATATAAAGACTGGAGTCAGATGAGGGTTCATCATGTTAATGTTAGTGTCGCACTAACCTTAAGGACATTCAAAAGGAAGCTTTGTTCGCTATTTCTGCAATATGAACTGTCTAAGCCAGGAAGCAGGGCAGCGAGAGCTGAGGAATGAATTTCTGGCTAGCAGTCTGACGCCATTGATTTGGGCGTGTAAGGGAATATCTCTCAGCCATGCATTGCGACACTTACCCCAGTAAACTTTTACGGACGACTCATAAGGTACCTTCGCTTCCAACCACTACATCCTTTTCGATTAGCATCCATATTATTTGCCTTGTACTTAGCCACTTTGCACAGACCATTTAATTCTTCACTCATGGCCCTTCTAAACCATGCAGTGATGTAAGAGAGCAGTTGCTGAAGAAGAGTCTCTTAATGTTTGCTGCGAAGTGATATCCTGTCGTATTTTGGAAAGCATTTCGTGAACAAATCATTCACCAAATCAGGAAAGGCTTGCAGCAAACCAACTTCTATGGCCCTTCGTGTACGGTGTTGTCTTGCATTCTGTACCGGGTGAAAGGTGTCCTAGTTACGGCCTCAAATTCACCACCCCAATATCAGTCCCACTTCCGTACATCGCTACCTGATGACTAAATCTTTATCTGTATGTGATAAGTTAGTTTTGTAGACACAGAGGACATCACAGCGTGATGCAACTAGGTTTTCCCTTAAACAATAAAGGGATTCTATAGTTTTGCTCCGCCAGTATAACTATTTTTGGCATTTCACCTGCTATTAGGACTTCGTATTTACTCATTTGGAATATGCCGAGATACAACAGCATCCAGTCACAGTTTGCCTATAGCCGTTTTGAAAAACAGACGTTCTGGAATTCCCAAATGTGAATCTACTTCCTAGTGGCATCGGTATTTACTGTTGCATGTGGTCTCATCAGGGTCGGTAAACAGATAACGAAGACTACTGCTAGGAAACCAATTGCACTTTTCTAGCACCCATATAAACGTGCACCACAGTTCAGACAACTTGTACTCTATCCTAATGCTAAATGAGTTTCATATACCAAAGTTTTCCAGCTAAATTCGAATAGGTCCTATTAGCAAGCTGCATTCTTGGGGGTATTGGGACACAGCTTCCTTGACTGAAAGGATATAAAAAGTCAATGAGGGTTCTTTGACAGACTCCATCCTAACGCCCCATTCCATCAGCAATTAAGCCCACGTAACGGGTCAAAAGTCAAAACTCAAAGCATTTCGCTTCAAAATAACCCCATGGTTACTCTCTTGATAAATGCAGCAAAAACGGAGCTAAGGAAGCTAAGGTGTAGTTCACCGTTTATTCTTTGTCGCTTTTGCATATTATAGGATCGGTTCTGTATTTTGCAGTGCACGGGGCCTTTGTGGGTAAGGTTGCTGACAAGATCTTTCCAGTTTATTCATGATATTATAGCCCCTATTCCTGAATACATTACAACCCTTTCGAAAGCTTACTCATTCACCTTCCCTTTTCGATTTCTGGACTGCCTCACCACTCTATCGTCAAGCTGTGCCTTTTGCGATGACCTTTTATTATCAAATGTGAGTACACTCAGCTTACTTGCTGAGTCGTCGGCTCGCCTTTTTCCCCTCCCCTTCCCTCTCCCAGATTCTCGTGGGCACCACCGAACCCAACCTGCTCTACAGCCTGCTTACCTACAGGCTAGACGAAAACGTACCAACGGCTAGTCGTTACAATACAAGCGAACACCATTTAAACGAGTGTCAGTAAATTTCTATATAAACTACATGCTTCTTAAGGGCTTGAAGTTTCATTCCCCACCAATTCAGACGCCGGCACATATGTGCTTCCCTTATTTTATTAGAAGGAGACAACGCAATGAGCATGCAGAAGTTGATACGGTGGACAAATGGAAGTATGGTCTGCTCATTAACAGAATTGCAAGGGTTTCCAGCTAAACATCACGTGTGAAGTCCAGATAAAAAACTTGAAGACATTACTTCCACCAATATACTTCGTATGCTTTGCCTAATTATAATCCTGTAAAGCTCACGAATGAGTATAGGCATCTTGTTTTCCATTTACTGTGTTTTGGTGAGCGCAGAAGTATCGATTCCATGTATCTGCGTGCCAGTTCACGCCGAAGAGCAACTTGGGAACCGTCGTTGTGCGAACTTGACAGACGCAGAAGCCTATCATTATTTATTCGTACTTGTAATATACTCACTAACACGGGACCAGGGAGGAACACAGTGGAATAGTTGGACGGAGCAGCATATTTGCGAGGTAGTGTCAAAATATTGATGCCCTCCAACTGGTTGGCTACATGGTCAGTTACGAGCAGTGCAACGTAGCACGACAGCGTGCCAAATGGCCCAGATGCTTGGCCGTGTGCCTTTAGCTTAGGGAGTCCGGTAAGGCAATGGAGGTCAGCGCCAGTGTTAAATCTCGTGGAACCCTAGGTTATTTGTTCTGAAGAAACGTGTGACGCCACAGCGATAATCTTACTGGGTACTATGACTACGTGCCAAATGACTGCCTGTTCCAACTCCAGGGTCGAAAAGTAATGGGTTTCATCGTGGTTCTTAAGCGTTATCACCCGCCAATGCGTGAATATCGAATATCAGCCGCCGATGTTCTGCAACATCCCAGTCGATTCCTGTCACAACTTACTGACGGAGAAGATAAAGGAAGACGCAGGAACGAGTATTCAGACTGAAGACCCGAAGAAGAAATCAAAAATAGAACATATCTAAAAATCGGCATGGGTCGGCCATTGAAAATAATAACTGTATGATAATCTACCAGCGTAACTGTAGGCGTAATCAACACAAGGTACATTTTCACTGGTACATTTCAGGACTACCTTGTCCGATTCGCCCATCAAGTTGGTTTGTGCATATGAAGCAGGCGTCCAGAACACGTCGTTTGCTACTTTCGCTGACCATGACAACCCTCCGCTAGATAAGCGTGACACTTTCCCGTTCACTTTCACAGTAAATCCAAGGTTTTGTGATTACCATAGCTGCAGTCCGAAGGATGAAATTCTTTTCTGTACTTTTTACTCTGCTGTTGTGAGTGCAATGACACTCCGACTGGCGGCGGAAAGTTTCAGCACAGATATGTTCCTCTGGGAATATGTTTTCCATAATAGGCCGGCCAACATTCAGGGCTGAAGCGTTTCTCTGAGATGGGAAACGAAGAAAAAGCAGCAAGCAGATGATAGAAGAAGGAATCCAGACAAGGAGTTTGTTTCCCATGTGTATATTTCTCCTCACTTGACTCCTTGCTACGGCTTTATTTGTACTTGCTCAGTTTCTTAAAAGTATACGAACACGGTTTTCATGTTTTTAAACAGTTCAGGTCCTACACCTATATTTTTCATGGTGGATACTTGGGAACGCGTGCCATTTTTTGCGGTTAAAATTTATGAGAAAGTTTACTGGGCGTAAGGTCAGTGCAGATGCAGTCAAAGCGTAAATTAGACGTTCAGTCAGTAATATATATATGTATATCACTAAGGATACTGATCAGGCACTGGGTGATCTGATGAGACTATCATATGATAAGAACCCAATTATTAAGTGAATAAATTCAGTTGTGAGACCTCGACCTCAACTGGAAGTTTTTCCGGATCTGAGAGAACCTTATAGCAAAGAAATCCGCACGAAGAAAGGACTTTAAAGGCCATATTGTGACAACGTGGGCATTGCTGCGCAGACCGCAGCAACTGTCTCATCTAAAGTGAGACTCGCCACTATCTGTAAAGGGTGATTTGTGAATCGCATTCAAAAAAGGACCAAGGATGCTTTTCACTCACCTGATAAAAATCTGTCCTGGGTTTTGAACTCATACACCTGGGCTTCTAGTCCTGCCTTCACCAGTATCTCACTGATTTGGCTGTAAAATATTTTCTGGCACTCTATATCTTAGGTTTGGCGTTAACGAGTATACCACTTCAAATAAATGGACGGTGTTCTAAAAGCTGCCGTGCACAAGATTTACAGAGCAGTAACTTAGCGTCTTGAAAACAGAAGCTAAAGGCCATGCATCACTGTGGGATTCTGTAGCGCTGCTTGTTAAGAAAATGTATGTTCAATTTTGCACCTCAGCCCAAAGGTACGGGAGCCTTTAGGAGTAGGTTGTTTCATAGACTGCAAATGTAACTACACCCTTAATAATGGAGGACGAAACGTGTCCATCCGCATCTGCCTTTAGTGAATCGAGGTCTTCTGCCAACAAGCCAGGTGACTATTAGGTTTGGCTCACTGTGTACCAACACTTCAGGACGAATTAGATCGACGTAAGACACTATGTATGCAACTTTGGGGTCATCAGCAAACAAGTTTCAACCATGTATAGGTTAAAGAAAGGGATTATCTAATGCACTGCACAAAATCGCATCTGAGGTACTTGGCATAGGTTTTAAGGCATATGACGCCACTTTTACGAATCGAGCGAGGTTATGCGGGAAAGATGTAATCCGTCCCAATGACAGACAGCCAAGTCACTGGGACCACAACTTTCCAACCGTATGTAACCAGCCATTTTAAATGTCTTGGAAATATCAAGATAAAGTACGAAAACTGAATGGGGTCGGCCACGTGTAGTGGCCATGAAGTTAAAAAAAGCAGTGTTATGATTTATGCAGGATCTCGATT